ATGTAAAGTACTTACTCTTGAAGTCTCTTAGATAACTGTTAATCAATAATACACTAATAGCCATTAAAATTGCTATAGCATGTGAAGGAAAGCAAATAAAAAAAATATTTGTTGTGCGTAAATAGTATGGCATGAAGACAAAATGAAAATTTGTAAGCAGTTTGGGGGTTTACAAGGGTGCGAAATCAGTCGAAACAGCTGCTCACACCTGGCAGCTAAAACGGCCCTTATCCAGTTAGGCACTGAGTAGAATTTCACTTGAATGACAGAAATCGGCATCTCATTCCATTCTGATTCAAGTCCATGCCACACTTCATCAATCGTATTAGATGGAGAGGGTTGCTAGGCCAGTCCTCAGCAAACCATGAGCAGGTATTTTCAATGGGTGACAGAGATCTGGAGACCGTACAGGCCAGGGCAGCAATCAAATGCACTGCATACCGAGGAAGGTCAGAACACAATGTGCAACATGTGGTCTTGAATTATCCTGTTGGAAGATTGCATTTGGCAGGCCTCAAAGATAGGGCACAACCCTGGATGTAAGATGTCACAAATGTACCGATCTGGCATTCAAATTACCATCGATCCGAACTAAAGATGTGTGTGCCATGTGCCCCATATGGGTTCCCATACCATGTGCAGCCTCTAGACACTCGAAAAGACACATCGTGTGACACTCCTATATCCAGCTTTGTTGTTGGACACACCACAGTAGCCATCTCTCTCTGTGCTGCATTGTCAAGGAAAGCTAAAGTAATGGACACTGTGCTGATAGTCCATGCTGATGCAAACGTTGACACACCGTACGAGCAGATACTACTGGGCATGCTGCAAATATGCCCATTTTCTGACTAATGGTCTGTGATGTGGTTGTAAATTTGGAGGGCTGACCTCACAATATGCCTGTCCTTCGGGTATTAATCATGGGACGGCAATGAGATCCTGCATGCCGTTCAGTATAATCCTCAGCATTCCATACATGCCATATTCGCTTAACAGTGGTTGGATGTCGACTAGTGCAACGGGCGATATCACAGAACGATAATCCACACTCTCTATAGGCAACAATCCTGGCTCTATCGAATTCTGAGCACCTTGCTGGTAAGCATTTCTTCTTATTATTCAAGGCATTTCTAATTATTATTTCTTATTATATGAAATTCTGAGCAAATTCCAACCTTGCAAAGTGCTTTCCGAATGACAAATCCACTACACAACGCTTTTGAAATTATTAATTCATCCATGCCAAACTTTGCCTAGAAATATCCATAATGACTGTTTCCAAGTTTTTGAATGCTTGCTTATTTTGCCCTATGATTTTTTTGAAAAATTGAAAACAATATTCTTTTTTAGAATATCGGTTATTACTGCAAATATTAACAGTCCTCCATTTTATAATTTTGGTTCCAGAAAATATTAACATATCAATGAAATATTAAATGATTAAACCGTTTTTCTGTCAAAAATTTTCAAAAATACAAAACTAGTCTTGTTTTATCGTAAAATAAATTAAAAAAATCCCTTCATGTCAAGCTCCAACTTCCTCGAAATTGAATCTCTTATGTTAAATCAAAAATCTCTTACGTTATTTCACAACTCCTCTGATATTAGAAAATCTAAAGTGCAATAATAGATACTTTTATGCTCCGGTAACGAAATTTCTTTTACATAATTATATATTTTGTTTGCCGAAATTTGTCTTCTTAGTCAACATATCTTATGCCGTCCAAATAAAATACTTCAAGCGTTATGTCTGAAGAGGTTTGTGTTCTATATTCTTTACCAGCTGTACCTTTTTGAAGTTTATTATTAATTCAGAATTGTATATGCATACAAAATTTATTACGTTTTATCCAGCAAACTACAAATTACATTTTACGGCTGTGCCGCAGTAGTAAGTCTGACGTGGTAGGAGTTAAGAGAATGAGGTGAGGCAGAATGGGGCGAGCAAGATGCCGCAAGCCTAGGAATCAGGCCAGACAAGAAGACACGCCTTCACGGAGCTTTGCAAGGTAAAGCAATAATGAGTTTTTAAGATAAGAAACTGTGAAAGTATACTATATGACAGAACGAGTTTGTAAGAATACAAACTCTCAAAAGCATACATTTGCAAATATAGAGTTACAGTGACAAAAATGCAGTTTGGTAAGATCAGATATCATACAGAAATTTTGATGAAATAATGAGAAAAGTATTCATAAAAGCTATACACAATATGTACAACTATATACAGGAATATTCTACTTTATGTAGGAAAGTTCAGATCTCTAGCTAGGTGGGCTGCCAGCGGTCGTAACTCTTTATCTTTCGGTAGTGAAATGTAGTCAAATAATTTAATTTTGTTATGTGAGGGCATGTAAGTGCTTTCTGGAAAAAGCTGGAGTTTAAGCGAAGAAGATGCTCTATGACAGTTTCAATTTTCAAATCCTTGTGTAAAATCTTATTAGATACAAAATAATACACATTCGTGAAGGTGCGCAGCAACTTGTTCTGTGTAATTTGTAATTTAGATATGTCCCTGTCTCTAATTGATGCCCACGCAGGGAATGCATACGTGAAGATTGGCCGTATAACAGAGATGTATAAGTGCAGTTTTCTTCTTAAGTCCAGTTTAGAGTGCTTGTTAATAAGTGAGGTTAAGACTCTGAATGACTCCTAGCGTTTTTCCCCTGACTTGAGTCAGGTGATTCTTCCAGGAAAATTTATCATTAATAATAAACGCCAAGGTAATTCGCCTTGCGCACTCTAGGAACTTCTGCGTCAAACAGCTTAAGCTTTTCTTTGATTTCAGTGGCAGAGTTCTTCTTTCGGATAATGAGCAGTTTGGATTTATCTGCGGTTAATTGAAATACGCCGTTTGGTACACCAAAATTCTATTGTGGCATGACTTGTTGAAGTTTCCTGACAGCTTGATAAGGACACATAGATTTTACAGCAAGCGCCGTATCATCGGCATAACAGTCAATGAAGTAATTGTAGTTAAAGCCTGTTTTAGGGAAACCAGTCACAAAGAAAAGATATAAGATCGGACCTAAAATTGACCCTTGCGGGACGCCGGCGTGAATTCTTTTGACTTCAGATATCTCATTTCCAATAGAAACATGAAAACTTCTGCCTTTCAGGAATGAGTAGATGAGACACGTTAAATTTTTTGGTGAAGCCAAGGGAACGGAGCTTAAAAATTAGACCCTCATGCCAGACGCTGTCGAATGCTTTGGCCACATCTAGCATGAGTAAAGCCACATTTTGTCTGTTATGTAGTGCACTGCCGATGTACTCAGAAAGTCTGACCAGTTGTTTCGTGGTGGAAAGTGTTTTTCGGAAACCAAACTGTTCTTCTGGGAATTTCTCCAAGTATGGTTGCATTCTATGATAAATGATACATTCAAATATTTTCCCCAAAATGGAAAGCAGACTAATAAGTCTAAATCCTTCTGGGCGATGGGTATCCTTGCCGGCTTTAGGTAGGACAATCATTTTGGCTCTTTTCCAGGGAAGCGGAAATTATCTGTTGGTTAAGCAAGCATTTCAAATACTGGCATACCTTGCAACGTAATTTTTCGGTAAATTCTTGATCGCTAAGTTGGTTATTGCATCGTAGCCTGGTGCCTTCCTGTTTTTCAGTTTCCTTGTGATTTCTTGGATTTCATGTGGAGAGGTGAGTTCCAGATTGCTTTCTAAGTCATCCTGTGAGGTAAACCAGTCATTAATGCAGTATCTTACATCATAAGCGAAGTCTATGTCACAAGGACTCTCATTCGGTTTAAACTGATTTTCAAAATGTTCTGCAAAGGCGTTTGCTTTTTCTTTATTAGTGAGAGCCACGAAGCTATTATTGAAGTGAAGTGGTTTATTCGCTACAGCCTTTCCTTTTAAATTTCTGACAAATGACCAGAACGCATTGTCTGGTTCATTAAAATTCATGATTTTATCGTCCCAAAGGTCATTTCTGATCTGAAGAATTGATTGCTTAATGTGCCTCATTGAACGTATAGATTTGTAGTTTTTGCTCCTTTAATCTATATTTCCTATCTATTTAAATTAAAAGCATATATTAATACAGTGTGCCTTAAATTGATAAAATAGTACACATATAATAATTATGACTATTAACTTAATAAATAATAAAATGCTTATTTTTTAAAAAAATTAATTAATATTAAAATAAAAACTCTGTAATTTATTTACTTATTTATTTTTGCTGATGTGTTTCTCGCCTTGTTTTAAGATTTATGATTTCATCTTATGGTGTTTTCTGAGTATGTGATATGTTGGAAACCGCAATGATGATGTTTACTTAAGTTAATGTATAATTTTGCATGATATTATATGGATCTTGATCTTATGTGTCTTCTGTTACTGTGTCTCAAGGTAGAGGCTAACATATTGTTTCCCATGTTAGAAAATAAAAGTTTAATTTAAAATTTTTAAATTTTAGTTTCCCTGTTATAGCAAAGTTAGCTTCTAAACTAGACTTGTACTGTTATGTGACTGGACCCCCACCATTATATTTTTATTATTAATTTTCCCCCATCTTCACATCTATTCAGCTTTACAAAACCACACTCATTACACACACCTGGAAGACTCTATTTAATGTAAATGATATAACTTCCTTTGACTACATTCATGGTTTTTTTTTTTTTTAACAAAATTCTCTCATTTCCTTTCCTTTTCTTTCTTTAGGCCCCCTTTTTTTTAATTATAAATATAATTTTTTTTTTCCTCTCCATTACTTTTGGGCCATTTATTTTTTTACTTTATTTTGTCCCATCTTTTCTTCCTGACCCTTCGAACTCGTATAAAATATACGAAGTTCCTTTTTACTCTCCGAAATTGTCCCCCTTTCTATATACCTTTCCTTCGCACCTATGCTTGATTTTTCGCCCATCGGTGTAGAAAGACATCTGTCTACTTTGTCTGTCTGTCACAGCAGGAGTACAGCGAGTACGTTTTAGGAACATGCTGGAGGTATTACTAATATTCTCTGTAATAAACATAATGAAGTATTTTGAAGTAAGTTTTCTGTCGAGCTCGAGTACGTCTGCTGTTCTATTGACTGTGCAAAGGCGACTAAGTTGGCCTTGGACTGTGTCAATCACATACCTGCAATAATACAGCTGCTGAGACAAGGTATTGGAGTTTCCCATTTGTTAACGTTTGTGGCACCTAGATGGAGCCACATTTTTTAAGCGCAATTTAGGCGGAACTTGAAAGTTTTATCGGGAAGTAAATAACTCGCGCTTACGTTTAAGCACCTCGTTTTCTAAGGAACTATCAACATAATTGATCATTTTATGTTTTTATAGCACTTGTTGATGTCGGTTTGACAACTAACATTGATTCCAGCTCTTCCGTACTTTTTTGTGACTGTTATCACAGTCAATGATTTTTTACTCATCGCACCAATCAAAACTGATGTGAAAGTTTCACTGTTAGGCGGGACTTTCCCGTTGAGCATGAAGAATGATACAGTTTTGTTCGATAAAGTTGTTCATTGCTTTTGCATCAGAAAGTGACGTTTTAGCTCTTTACTGCTGATCATATTTCGATAATTATGTCAGAATTTCGAGGTATTATTGAGAACTTAATTAAAGGAGCTTTACTTCCGTGGATTGAAGAACATTTCGACGATGTGGTTGCTGCATTTGGAACAGAAGGAAACACTACAAATTCTGCATATAATTGGAATAATATAGTTTTAGATTTTGAAGGGTGCAGTGATGAAAGAATTAATGAATTTTTAGATCTAAATGCTTTCTGTCAATCAAGAAAAGAGATAATTCACGAACTTCGGAATATTTCCGAAATAATGACCAAGGAGAGACGCAATTGCAACTTGTCAAAGCTGGCGGGCGCTTGTACAGGAATTATAGGAGGTAATTTTTTATTTGTTTTCTTCATATTTTGTTTTTTACGAATTCAGTTCCAAAAATATGTAGATGTACCATGTATGACCTCATGATGTTTTAATATATTTGAGAAAAAAATTGCCAGTATGTTTCCAAATGTTGCAATATATATCGCATTTATTTAATGGTACCTATATCTTTATCTCCTGGGGAAATTAATCTAAAATTAATAGCACATTTATGATCAACAATGTCTGAATTATAGCTTTCCAGTTTACCAATGATATAAGTATAAGTGTGTAATAAAGGGCATCATATTTATCAATATTTCCTCTTTTTGTTTTATGTCTATGGTCATTGAGGGCATTGAAATATACTTTGCATAGAAGTGCCTTTGACCCATAAGAGGCCATTTATTACTATTGGTAAATAATTGCAGGATTTTTTTCGATTTCCTGTTTATAACAGTTCACTATAAACGGGAAGTTGAAAATGAATATTTTTCAGCAAAAACAAAAGAAATTCTTCAAAATGAGAATTGAAAAGTGCTTCCTTGCTTGAAAATGAGAAGATACAGAAAATGATGGAAATTCGTGCATTACCTTCCAATCATCTTGCTAGAATTGCTTGGGTTATTAATAACAGTATACAATACCTGCTGCTTATTAAAATCACCTCCGTTCCAATCAAGCAGCTGAGTTTAATAGACAGCGATTTGTATATTACAAACTATATCAGTTTTACACTTTTTAAATAAAATAACAAAAAATTCATTAATTAATCTAAAAATAATAATTAAAAATTAATACCAAAATTGAACCTAGATTTTTTTAATTTATTTTAAAATTTTATATAAAAATAATTTTATAATTTATTTCTTGATGAAATTTTCTCTCTTATAAACAGCTATTTTATCTGTTAGTTTTATACTGCTCAACAACTGTTTTTCAGTTGTTTTCTCAATTTTGTAAAATTGCTGACAGCTTTTTTGATCAGCACGTTTCAAGAGTTATGTAGAATTTGCTGTGCTTTTCTATATTTGAATGATGATGCATATCATCAGTTATCACTGTCAGTTTTAACAGTTCTTTTAACACTTTTATAGTCAGTTTTTATGCAGGGTGTCACATTATTATTGTGAATTGATTAATTTTAAAAGTGAATCTTCATAAGTTCTCTCACTGATGCCTGAATATTAGCAATTCCTCTGTTGCTTCTACTTACAAGCCTAATTTTCGAAAACAGTTTCAACATACAGACTCCGGACAAGGATGAGGCAGGTGAGGCACTTTCCTCAGGTGAACAAGTAGAAGGGGTGCCAAATTAGCTAGGAAAATTTAAAAAATTATTTTAAAAAAAATTATGATTTTTAAATTTTAGTTTTGGAATGCAGCAATGAATCAAAATTTTGTGTTATTAATTCAGCTAAAAGAAAAGGAAACTTAATAGCATTACTATATTCTCAAAACAGATGAGCTGTCAGAATTATTTTCTAACAATGAAATTTATTATTGCAAGTAGTATGATGAAGTTTAATGTTCACATTGTGTAAGCAGTTGTATAGACTAAATTTCTATAGAAAATATCATACTGCCAACATTCAGTTCGTCTAGTCTTTGGAATATGGTAACAGGTAGTTTGGCAACATTTTTGTAAGGCAATAAAGGTTACTAGCTAGGACTTTAGCAGTGTACATGGATAAAGTCAAGAGTGTGCGCAATGTAATTTTTGTGCAATTCTGGGATGTTTTTTAAGTGAAAATAGGTCGACGTGTACATGGATACCGTGTATGTGCAACTCTTAAAAACACGTTAAGCAGTGCGCGATTCTGCACTTTCTCTCAATTTCGCACCTAATCTTCATCATGATTAAGCATTTTTGTTCCATTAAAGTTCTAGCCTAAGCGTAATTTGGCTAGCAGATTGTTGGAAAAAAATGTTGAGTAAACAAAAAACAAAAAAAAAAAAAAACCATGCCTTTACTTTGGGAAAACAAAATGGTGTCAAAAAAAAAAAAAACTAGCAGGTTGCTGTAGCAGGGTTGGTTGCCAAATTTTTGTTAAGTTAACTTAATCTGAAGATTAACCTTCAGTTCTTTGGTATCTCTTAACTAATTTGAACCAAGCTCATTACTGGTTCTACTTCATCATAACAATCTTGTTAAAGTCCACTAAATGAGCTAGACTGCGAAATAATTGCAGAGTTTTGCAGTTGCATAAATGCCTTTTGGAACAGCATCCGAATTTTGTATTCACTTTCAGTTTGTTCAGGAACTGTAAGGATAATTTCAGTTACAGTTATAATACATTTAATGTTAAAGGATTCAACAAATTGGCTTAATAGTTTTTCTCATTCTTTGTCAACTGGAACGTAAATGTATAAGGTAGGATATGATTTTTTTATTATTTTATCATTTACAGTCAATTACTAAAATAATTTTTTTTTAGTTTTAAAGAATTAAAAAAAAAAGTAGGTTTAAAAATTTGAGTACTGTGTGAAGGATTTAAGATGAACTGTTTTGGCTAATTCTAATAAAATTGATTTTTTTTAGAGTTTTGTTCCATTGATCCTTACGTGATTGATATAAAAATATGTTCTTGCTAAAGGAATTTTGAGGAATACAGTTTCGAAAAGACTGAAAAGTAAAGAAAGAACAACAAATGAACGTTTATGTAAAGTTATAAACAAGTTGATTTAAGATATCAAATAAAATTGAAATTAGTTAAACTAGGGGTGAAAAACTTCTTCATTGTTGTGCATAAAATTTAATGGTAAACGACTGTCATACTTTCAGAATTTAACACATTGAAGTCTCCTGAATTAACCCCTTACTCATCACAAAATTTATTCAAAAATCATCGATTTTTTTATTAATGTTTATGAAATTTAAAATAAATTCATATTATAAACACTATATTTTTCTTTAAATTTAACAGTTTTTTTAAATATGTAAAATTTTTTATTAACTTGCCTTGTCTTACTTTATATTTGGCTTTGCTCTTACTCTTGAGCTTGGCAGAAAATCTTCAATACAGGCCTTTAAGATTACATACAAATTTTGGAGAGAGAAAAATCATGTACGTTTAAATAACGCACAATATTATCTGTAAATGGTGATGCTTTTATTCAACATCAATAATAGCTGTAATATTTTTTCAAAAATTTAATAATTTTTCTGCATATGATAAAGTTTGAAATATGGTATGCACAGTCCTACATGGCAATCTTTGCAATGATACCTTGTTTCTCTCCCAATTTTTGTTTTTCATTTGCAATCTTCTTTGACGAACACACTTTACATTCTCTGAAATGTGTTTTTTTTTTTTTTTTTTTTTTTTTTTTTTTTTTTTTCTGTAAGTGCCAAAAGGTTCCAAAAGTGCCGTTGCAGTTTGATGGCTCTTCACTCGTTGGACTACCTCGTCTTGAAAAATTGATAAAAGTATGATATTTGTCAATTATTTCATCGATAAAATCCAGTCTAAACTTTAAATATGACTTTTTCCCGCCTACTTTTTTATAAACTTGAAAAGCGTTGAAAACGGCTTGGTCTAAAAGGTGAAAGAATATTTTTTTAATAATATTTTTTCCCACTGTTTCTTGCTACTTGATATCTAGAAAGGCATTGATCTACAAGATCCACACCTCCCATTGTTTTATTGTCGTCAATTACTACATTTGGTTTTGTTTTCAGTTTTTTACTTTGGGTCATTACATCAACTGTTTCAGAATCGTGAAAAAATGATAACATGTTACTTCCTTTTTGTCCTTCCATTTGAGAACAAGGATTTTGCCACGTCTAAATGATCTAACTTTGTCAGTTTTTTAATTTTTTGTTTTTCAATGCAAGTTATAAATCCTTTTTGTTTTGTCTAACAGTTCCAACCACATCTGTTAGCTAAGTCAAAAGGATATCACATAATTCTGGTGAAGTATAACAATTATCTAAGGCAGTAGCCTTGTTTTAATAATGGTATTGTGGCTTCTAAAGGTTGCAATTGGCCACCAGGAATGACAGCTATCTGGGTTTTAATTTTCTCGCTTTATTCTTTATGGTTTCAGTTCTATGGGTGCTAAACTGATCAAAAACCAAAAGAGGGTTTTCTTAAGAGTCCACCAGGTCCACCCATACGTTCTGTAACCACAGTTTCATTCCAGCTTCGTCCATCCAGCCTTTCGGATGAACATGAACAATTACACTCGTTGGAAGTTTTTCTTGCGGGTGAGTTTTCTTTTGAATAGGAAAAACGGCGGTAGTTTTGTGCCATCAGCACAACATGTTAGAACTACCGTATATCAGGTTTTTTCATGACTTGTGGTTTTTATGGTTATTGATTTAGACCCTTTAATACTTACAGTCTTGTTGGATGGTGCATCAAATGTGAGTTGAAGTTTATCCATATTTCCTATTTGACCGAGCTCAAAAGAAGTTTTCTTGCGTGCATTTATAACAAACCTATGAAATGCTAGTATTTTTTCTTCATAATCTGCTGGCAATTTCTGTGCAATAGTTGTTTTTGTGCGCATTGATAAGCCTTGCCTTTTCATGAACCTGTAGCACCAGCCCTCAGACCCTGAAAAGTTCTGATTCCCATGTTTTTCTGCAAATCCTTTGGCCTCATTGATTATCATTTTGGTTGAAACACTTATCCCAGATTTCCTCTTTATCACCCACATTTTTATGGCATTTTCAAGTTCAAGCCAAGATGGAGCTGGGCATCGAAGGTTATGTTTTTGTTTTTTAGCAGTCTTCATTTGATCTTCCTGCAGTCGCCAAGTACGTATCATTTTTTCTGTAGGTGGTGACCGAAATGCCTTGTTGCTGCTCTGTTTCCATACACCTTGGCGTAGTTTAACACTCTTAGTTTATACTGAATTGTATAGCTTAATCTCTTGTTTCCTGTAGTCATATTTTCCAGGGTATTTTTTTTTAAACAAATAGTTTTAAGCACCAATACCGACACGTTTATACAGAGTAGCATCGATACCGACACGTGTGTCGACTGAGTCAAAGAAAGTCTATGTAAAGAAGGAAAGGCTCCATAGATGTAATGTGATCGTCGAACCTGTTTGAACTTCGACATCAGCTTCAAGCTTTGGGGCTTTTTGGCGACAAATATTTCACGCATGCGCAAAATAATTATGGCAGATGTAGAAAAAGTTATGTGTGTCTAGACTTTTATCCAGGCTAAAAATAGCATTCCGTATTGAAAGTTAACCTGTGTCCTTCACGTATAAAATGCAGGTAACTTTTTCGAGACCAAATTTAGGAAAAAAAGTGAGTATTATATGCCGTCAAATACGGTATTTGGAAATGAGCATGGGGTGAGGACTGTAGAATCACATTTGTGACTTCACTCTCATTCATTCACACCTGGTGAAAAAAATTAAGATTTGTTGAATGAGGGAAAGAACAGATGGACATGGCCGACAAAATAATAATAGATTGGAAATATTACCTCATGTAAGTACGTACTCAAAACATTCTAAGCAGTGTCTGGGAAAATCTGGCATAGGTTTTATTAAATTACTTTGTCATTTAATCTGATGTTTATATAGTTTTTTTTTAAGCTTAATGTTTATATAGCTTTTTTTAATTGTGCTGAATTTGTATTTTTAATCTGTTGATTATATTAGTAAATAAAGCGTAATATGCGATTATTTATTAAATAAAGAAGCAGAATTCTGCAGGAATGTGCGACTCAACCTTGGTGGGATCTCTGCCAGTTTTCATGGATCTACAGAATAATATATAAGTACCATTAATTCAACAGGAAAGCTTCTGAATTAGTTGCAAAACTTTGGCTAATAACTATATAAAGAAACTTTGGTACTATCCCCATTATCCACCCAACTCACAAAGTTGTTAATGATTTGCCACTAATTTTTCACGAACCTAAGAGGTGAAAAGCAGTAGCCATTTTTAAGAAATGGCAACGTGCTGGGAAGAAACTATATAAAACAGTAACGAATTAACTACTTAATGAACCAGTAAAAATTGACTGTATTTGCTTTAATTTACTTATTCTTATAAATGTTGTGTCGCAAATGTTTATATGTATTCATCTTATGTTTTTAAATTATCATTAATTAATTATTTTTATTTGTTTTCATTTATACTTAACTTATATTTGAAATTGTAATAAGAGTATTCATAAATTGTTAAAAGCATTAGCAGAATATTTTTACTCAATGGTACGTTAGGTCTTAGTAACAAGACAAGAAAATCTTTCTTTCGAATTGAAATGACATCTCGTTAATGGCTTATGATAACAGTAGAACTGAGGGCAATATAGTATGTGTCCGCGTTTCGTCGCTGGGGGGCTTTTTTATTAATGGGCAGTAGAGGAAGTCTTAAATTTTGGCCTGCTTTGTGTATATTGCAATGGTTTTTAGATCAGTTTCTTCCATATGAAAAGGGTGGCTGTAGATTCATTCATTTGATTCTTATTGTTAGTTCCCGTTGTCGTCAGCTGGAGGGGTCGAGTGTTTTTTTTCTCACGCATTCTGGGTACATCTGGTCCGCAGTTCATTGTCAAATTGTCTTGTTTCTGATTCCTTGTGGTGTGTTGTTTTCGGTTAAATAATAAAGCAAAAGTCTAGGATTAGTGAAATTTATGCAACATTTTTAGGCCTATGAAGATATGGGGAGCGGAGTGACTGAGTTTACTTCGGAGGTTGCAGTTGGATTGAGGTCAGGTTTGGGCAGCAAAGATGTAAAGAGTAAAAGAGCGGGGCTCGCGCTTACCTGTTGGAGCAGAGTTCGGCTTTTAACTGATGAGAATTTGCGTAGGCATAAGGCATAGAGCTCAGCACAAAATATATTATATACATTCTATTGTTCCGAGAATTGTAAATAGGCAATTTCTGAGGTGGGCATTCCAGGAATTTTCATGTTTGCAGTTCGTTCCTCATGGCAGCCTTACAGTCTTTTTTCTGGCCAATTTATTGTCATCTTTCTGGCTGCTTTATAGTCAGCTTTTCCCGCCATCTCACTAACAGCATTCCGGTTATATGGGGTCAAAGTAATTCAATTGGAGTCTTCTTTGTCGAGTTTATCAACTAGTAAACCGGCTAAGGAGTGTGATGTGGGAAATTCTACTAGTTTCGTCTTCATCGATTTCCAGCTAGTAATCCGGCTAAGGAGTGTGAGGCAGGTAATTCACATGACTCAACAATAAGGGACTTATTCTTCAGTCATCGTGAATTCTGCGACATTTCCGTTAAATAGTCCGTGTGACGAAGGGTTCCTGTCTACTAAATGTGAGTTCTTTTATATTTTTTTATTTGCAGGAATCAGACTTAAAATGTTAACTAATCTTGTGTTTTGGGAGAAGGGCAAAAATTCATTTTAAAGTAGAAGGAAAATAAAAATTTGTTTGCCTTAAGTAAAATTTAAGATTACTAAATATAAGATATGTATTTCTGTAATTGAAATTTCTATTTTTGTTACCTGAGATCTGATTTTTTTAAATAACTGAGTTATGTATAGAATAATCCTAGTAATTGATTGTACTGTTTAAACTGTCTGCTCTACAGTAATAACTAGAAGTAATAACAAGGAATGTATGTTACTGTGCATGTAAGAAAGGTAATCAGTTACCCCACTATCGAAATTAGATATAATAAAAAATTAATAAATGTGTTTGTTTTGTAATCTTAATTGCTTTTGTTTATTATGTTTGTATAATGTGGTCTTTGTTTTGGGGGTTTTTGATATTTGATACTTAGGTGCTAGGATTGTAATTAAACTGAGGTTTGATTTTTGGGGGGGGGTTGATTCTATTTGATGTTTATGAATATTTCTTCTCTGGTAGTTGTGAGGTTTTGATTTAATTAAAATGAACTTGTTGCTCTCGAGTTAATTATTGAAATTATTTGAAATGTAGTTTAAGTTTATTTAAGAGATAATATTTGGTTTTACCTGAGCACCAGCGAAGATTTATTCCTCTTATCTTATTTTTCAGGTTAAGATTAATTTAATGTGAGATTTTGCTTTAAAAGTTAAAAAAATCCTAATATTTCAGTATCACAACATGAATAAAAACTGTGTTTGTTATTATTTACAGGTCTGACTGTAGGAGCAAGTTTTTTAATTCCCTTTACCGGTGGCTTAAGTGCACCTATAGCTGCCGCAGGTGGAATTGTCAGTCTGCTTGGAGGAGGTACCTCGCTTGGAACTGCAATTACTGAATGTGCTTTAGTATCAAGGCGCATAAAGCAGGCTAAAAATATTTTGGAAGAGGATAGAAAAAAATGTGAGTGGATGCTGATACGTATTCAGCAGTCAGAAGACTTACAGAAAGCTATAAATGACGTGATGAACTTAGATATTTTTAAAAGAATGGTTAAAGATTTGGCTGCTATTGTTCAGGAAACTCGAAATAAGTTCAGCAAAATCCAAGGAACATTTTATCGAATGCAAAGCAATCAATTTATGAAAATGTTGATGCCTATTATGTTTTCTATTATCGAAGAAAAACTTGGGCTCACACCAGAGTTGTTAAAAATACGCATAGCAGTATTTTTGGCAATCTTCCTTGTATTAGTGATACAATCTGATAATCAGAATCTTGCTGATATTTCTATCACAACTTTGCGTTTAAGTGGAGGAATTGGTGCAAGTGCTGTTTTTATCAAGTCTGTTGATGATATGTCAGTAGTCCTTAAATCTGGCCTTAGAAATGGCACAATCCTAGCTCCCATCCGAAGTGCTGTTATTCGTGGACTTGCAGTAGCTGGTTTGGCTCTAGATGTGATCAATTTGATTTTGACATCAATTGATCTACATAAGGGCTCCATCAGTGAACATGCAAAAGCTATTGAACATGCTGCAGATGAAATGGAAGAGGAATTAAGAAAATTAGAAAAAACAGTCAAAATGCAGTAAAAATAATAACCTTTATAGGAAGCATGTTTTTTACATTACATGGACAGTTTGCATGATTTCTAATTTTTAACATTTACCAGTAAAGGTGTTTTTAAGCTATAAAATTTAATTGCAAAGTAAAATTTGCACAGTTTAAATTTCATTATTGAATTAATGAAGCTTTAAAGTGTGCAAATTTCATTACTCCCTTCCTAGTGATATTTAGCATATTTTTTCTAATTAAATTTTATTATATTTGAATTCTCTTAATCATGTCATTGACATCTGTAAAGTATAATACGGAGATTGAACCAAATATTTAATCATTAAATATTTATGCTTAATTTGTTTTTCATCAGTATGTACATTTGAGAACAGGGAATGTGAAAAATATGCACTGCAAATAATTTTATTTTCTTCATTTTATTTCATTGCAGTTGCTGTAATAATGCCACAAGCATCGACTGTAGCTTTTTTTTTACCATTGATAAAAAATTGAAAATTGTAAACTTAATGAGTATTTTACAATAGAAAACGACTGTGTTGACATACTGCATTTACCAAAAAAAAAAAAAAAAAACAGTAAAATCATTAACCTTTTGTTTCTAATTCATGTGCAAATCAGTAATTTTTTACTTCTCACACATGTGCAGAATGGTAATGTACATTTGTTGGCAATGCAGAAGCGTGCTAAATCCGCTGTCTCACCAAGCTAATTATAGAAGACAAGTACAAAAATAGTTTCATGAAGAGAATTATAGTTAAGGATTCATTTTAGAGATAAGACCTTTAAAGACTCCCATCATTATTATTGTGGAAAATACTTGTATGAGATGTTCTCAAAGAGTAGTTTTGAGCATTATTATACATGGGATTGATGTGTTGTGGATGCTATGCTGAGTCAATTCATGGGATAATTTAATAACTTAATTCTAGAATGGATTAAGCATTTTTACAACATAAAAGTGAACTTTATTGTTTACATTTTTCTTGTTGCCAATCCAGAGAAACTAAACTTTGCAACAACAAAGGTAATATTATATAGAGAGAGACAGCTGCTTCAGAGGTGTCAGTGGAGAGGCAGCCTTTTTTTTTTTTTTTTTTTTTTTCCTGCAAGGGCAGTATTGTGCTCATGAATGTACAGATGCCATCTGCTTAAATAAAAATGTTGTTAATGATGAGCATGCTCAAAACTAAAAGCTTTTATATTACTAAGTGAACATCCAAGTACCAATTTCATGAAAATGAAGAAAACCTTCTTCAATAACAATACAAAATTCTGCTAACTTTAGAAACAGGAAAAGTGTGTATATATACTTGTATAAGATAAAAAGTATGTAAATCAAAATTCTAACTTAAATATGCAACAGCCCCTTAACTCTTCATTTTAATTTGGGTATTTCCCCTTTCTAATCTCAAAATAGAAATTGCTTACAATAAACTTTTCTGTACTGTGTCATTTCCAGATTAATTCATGTCATATGACTTTTACATAATGCTTGTGATGTAAATAATTTTGCTAACTAAAACAGTCAATAATAATTTTTCAGCTTTATTAATTAGGCAATCAAAATTATATTGAAATCAAAACTATCCTACTCTGGATTAAGATTTCATCCTAAATACTGACACTTTGTGTTTGCTTCTCGACCTAGATTGCTCTCTTCTTACTGCTTTTTTATGGAGTGTAATAATTTAGGAATGTGAGAAAAGATAAAAAATAATTTTAATTGTGGCTGGTAACTGTAGATAGTTCTGGCATATAGAATGCATTAATGCGTAGCAAAATGAGGAAACTTCAGACAGTCATAGCTGTAGATTCACTGTATTATATTTCTGGGCAAAATAATTCTTGAGATGCATATTCTGTTTCACACATCATCATGGCACACATTTTTGGGAGTTTAACTACATCTTAAGACATACAATGGATGGCGAAGAGAAGTGAGCCACTACGTGTTGACTGAGAACAAGCAAGAGGAAAAATTTAACGCATTCAGAAGAAAACCTGGAAGAAAGTCACAATGTTTTGATTTCAGTTAAATTGTTACGTATTATTTGGCTAAAATCTCCCTGCACTGCAGTGTGTGTATGTGTGATTATGGCAAAGCCTCGAGGGGTATCCGCCTAAGGGGAGGGATGCCTTCATGGAGGACTTTAATCTAAGGGAAATGGCTCGTATACATGTTACACATGGGTAAAACCACAAAAACGCCCGTGCAGCCAGCCCGTTCGCGGGATTCGAACCTTGGACCGAACTACCAGTGTTCAGCGACTTTACTGCTCGGCTGCTGGTGGGCACCATTTAGCCTGAATTTTGAGTGGAAGCCTGAATTTTGAGTTCCTGAATTGGAAGCCTGAATTTTGAGTTCATTTTATTTCATATTTTGTAAACCTTTAATGAGATTTTTAATGACAAATTCAATGATCAGAAAAACAGTAGTGTTACCACTGCTGTCTTTCTGATCATTGAGCTATGATTGTCTGAAGCATACTGAACGGCATGCATTTCAATATTTGGCACTGCAGTGTTTTGTAAGAATGTATGGTATCGATTAATTTGAAATGACTCAGTTTAGATTGATATTGTTGCGTGCATACGGGTTCGTTATGAAATGAATGCACAAATCCGATAAAAAATGAACGAAATTTATTATTATCACAACAAAAATGCTTAAATTTCCTCAGATATTCGTGCAGTATTACAATCACAGTAGTTATCTTTTAACTACTCAAACGTTCAAGAGAACTTAATTCAAAACAGCTAAAGAAAGCTAATCCGCGAATTCGCTGCAGTCAACAAGAGCAGTTTTCTAAACAAACTCTTAAAGCAACAACAAACAAACTAAAATCATCAAATTGAGAGGTTTTCCTCCTTTTTATAAGATTTTTACATCGCGCGCGAGAATTTTCTGGAACTTTCTCGAAATCAAAAAGAGATATGTATTAAATGTTAAATGCACATGCTCTTGTATTTTTAATTTTCCAGCTTAGCTTTCCTTTAATATTCATCACGCGCTACACTGAACGGGGAATAAAACAATTTAATTTATAATTCAACTAACATTAGCTATTTAAATACCAAATCCGTAACAATATGCTACAAGCATTTACTTTTTTTAGGACGGAAAGGGGAAATGCCCAAATTAAAATCAATAAAATAAGGGGCTATTGCCAATTAAAATCAGAAGTTTCCTCTACATAATTTTTTTAAATCTTATGTATACTATCTACTATATGTTGACTTAAAATATGTTTTTTATTGTTCTACTATTTTTTTACATGATCTTCATAATATGTAAATACATTAAAAATTTGGGTATTTTGTTTAATATCAGTTTTGTGTGTTGAAACTGCAATTTTACTTACTTAGATTTATATATAATTCCTTTAACATTTCAGTATATCTTTATAATTAGTTAATTTTTGATATTAGTTACAATAACTATAACAATTGTTGTTATTAGTTACTAATAACTATAATAATTGTTACTAATAGCAATTTTGTAATTAATTAATACTCTTAGTTAATTTTTTATAATTCTTTACAAATTTCAGTAGTATGGATTGTGTTAATTATGTAAATTGCTTTGCTGATTATGTTTTATCCATTGTATAATTCTGAATTTTTTAAGAGAAAAAGTTTTTATGTCAATGTATTTTTCTATTAATGTATTGGCTAGGTGTGTATATTGTTTATCTAGTGCTTTGTTTTTTAAGAGGCATTTATATTTTTGTATTTATTCTCCTAATATCTGATTAATATACCTGAAAAAAAGAGATAGATGTTTTATCTCTTGAATAAATCTATGTACTGGCTGAAGACTGTTTCGAATCTTATAATCCTTGTGTGCTCTAAATATCAATAAAAGAATTAACGTGGCAATAACATACCGTGTCAATTACCCTAACCTGAAACAAAAAAATTGCCAACAGCAGTTATTTATTTAAAATGCTAACATAGCAAAAAAATTTCGATATGTAGTGATGTCACAAGCAATCGCGGCGTGCTTTCTTCAACGTCCAGCCAGCCCTTTCGCGGGAGTCGAACCCTGGACTGAATTGCCAGTGTTTAGTGGCTTTTAAAGCTCGGCCTCTAGTGGATCTCTCTTTGATAAATATGACTCTGCACGCTTTACTTTAAAGAAAGAAAACAATGAAAAAAAGTGTAATGTCACATATGGTATGGTGCAAGAGAGATAAATTATTAATTTATTGACATGAAAGTAATGTTTAAACACCAGGAAGGGTAGTATCTGACAAATGTCAAAATCATGTGAAAGGAAGAAGAGGTTGAGATATGCAAATGATTAGTATTTCAGCGCATTTAGACGCCGCAGGAGGGAGAAATGACATCTGAAGTACTGCATAACAGAAAGGTTGTATAGTGGATTTCTCATTGGGAAAGCAATTTGTAAGTTTGGGGTTTGCTCAGAATATCGTGTTATGCCTCGAATAATAAGAAGAAATGCTTACCAGCAAGTGTCAGAATTCGATAGAGGTAGGACCGTTGTTCTATCTAGAGTGTGGATTATCATTCGTCACACTGGTCGACATTCAACTACTGTCATGTGACTATGGAATCAGAGGGCTGCTGAGGTTATACTGAACGGCATGTAAAATCTTGAATGCCCTTCTATGACTGATGCCACAGACATATTGTGAAGTCAGCCCTGCAAAACCGTACAAACACATAACAGACCATTATCAGGAAATCGGCATTTTTTCAAATTTATTACGATCACTGTTTTCCATTTATATAGACTTTAAGTAAATATTTCATGTTAATTTACCTTTTTTCCAGAGATTTATCTATGTATTTACTTAATTTGCACCAAACAATAAAGTTGGATACAGGAGTGGCAGAATATCATCTTTTCTGAGAATCCCGGTTCAGCGTGTAGTATTCTGATGGCCGTATACATATCTAGAGGCTTCGAGGAGACTGTACATCGCCTGCTTGCATTCGAAATCGGCACTGGTGTGATGGTTTGGGCAGGCATTGGGTAATTTATTAGTACAATCGCAGACATATAGGAGAGGTATGCCATATCCATGAAAAAAAATTTTCCCAAGCCACGTTGTAACAGTGAACTATAAAATGGAATAAGAAAATGTCATACTTCCAACAAAATTGGTATCTGAGTGTGCAAAACATGAACAAGAAATGAATATTTTTTCTGAAAATGTCTCGAATGTGATAAACCGGGAATAAGAACCTTGACTAGTTTCATGAGCAGAGCATGAAAAATAATGAAGTACTATTTTATTTTGTGTGTAGTACATTTATACTAAAATCTTCCATTTTGATTGATGACTTTACTCTAAATTTAGCACAAGTTGATAAATCAGAGTGATTTTTGTGTTTCAAAGCTTCAGATTCAAAAAAATAATACAACTCAAAAACAAAATGATTAAAACGACAAGAGAATATATTGTAAGCAAGCGAACGTGATAAGTTACTCTTTTTGCTGATTTCCATGAATTCATCGATCGGTAGCAAAATTTTATGCACCGTATATGAACTATGATATATTTTTTTTTTTTTTTTTTTTCAAATTTATTACGATCACTGTTTTC